TTACTAATGGTGGGGTGATCCCTTGGTACCTGAATCAGCCTAGAAGTCCCTTCTGGGCTCCAAAATGCCTAGAGAGGGCATCACTGGCAGGGGTAACTGTAGGGCTGTCTCAGGTCTGGCAGTACCAGCTGAGTCAAATACTGGCATTGGTCTCTTGGTGTGGCCCCTGAATACCAGTGCAAGCCATCAGGCCTGCTGTAAAATGCCCTCTCTCTAATTGTCTGTAGTAGTCATGTCTCCTGAATATGACTCAAAGAACGTTGTCAGGCACCATGCATCAAAGGAAAGGTTGATTCTTCAGTAAGTTTAGTTGGTAGAGCACAAGAGAATGGCATGTATGCATATGCTGTCAGAGGACTGATACATATTTTTCAGAAAACAGTTTCAGCCAAACTTTCTGCAGTCATCCCGGAGTGTGGCCACCAACACCTAACCACTCAAATTTTTGAGGCCGAGCATTAACACCAACCAAGGTTACACAGCCCACCAGTGCCTTCATTGACAAAGCAGGTAAAACTGCATGCACAACTGGAGCAGAGAAGCTGGGTGGAATCCTGGGTGTGCAATCTCGGTTGGGAATTAGCCAAATACTTCACCTTTCATACATGCAAAGGAAGACAAAGGTGCCCAAAACATGGAGAGAATGACTCTTTGCTGTGGTTAAACAGAGGTTTCTGTGTCTTTCTGTTAGTAGATATTTTCAGATATTTCAGTGTCTCCCTCTCTCTCTAAACATTATCTCCTCTAAAAAAAAAAAATCCAATTTCTCTGGCTTTTTAAAGTAGGTAATATAAATTATGCTCTTCTTACTTAGGATACACAGTAGCCCAACACATTTAGTAAATAATTACAGGTGAAAATCTTGCCATGCAAACAGAGGTCAAACAGTTTGTGTCCAAAGAGCTCTTACTCTCTAATAGGCCCAAACCAGAAGGAGTTTAGTCTGCAACATGAAGAATTAAGAAGTGATGCTGCTGCAGTCCAGTCGGAGCCTATGGATTGATACAAATCCAATGGGCATTCACAGCTAGGATAGTCTCATTTAGTTCTCAAGGTAGAAAAGAATAGCCTAAGGTAGACCCATTACATTGAGGTGTGGGTTACTACTCATTTGTCACATTGTGGCCTCACAACAAGTTCTTTACCTCATTACAACCTTTTGTGGTGCTCGTGCCCAAGATTCACGAGAGCGCATCTAGTAAGGGATCTTTACCCAGGTGTGCCAACCTCCAGGGCACAAAGAGCCCAGCAGTGCCAGGCAGAGCTCTGCTGCTGCCAGCAGGAGCTGGAATCAAGCAGGTGGATGGTAGGAGGGTGAGAGCAGAGCTGCAGCAGTGTGGCCCTCTTGGGAGAGAGCAGCATGGCTGCAGGTATCTTCATCTTGCCCAGCACTCCTGAACAGAGAAGACATCCCCCTGCCCTGGTTCCACTGGGGCTCAGCAGAGGTGCAAAAATGAAGTGCTGGGGGAAGGGCAGAGACACAAGGAACACCTCATGGCTGCTTTCACCTCCTCCTCCCAAGTATGTCTCATAAGGACTTCAACTGTTCCCACAGCCAGCAATTTGATTTGGGCAGACAGCCAGCATTGCTTAGCAGATCCACAATGACACCTCACACATTCTTGAAGGTGTGAAAGAAACAACCAAGCTGAATCGTTTCACCACCTTCACGGTACTAGAGGTGATACCATAGACTTGCCAAGGAACATAGAAGGACATCCACAAACATTTCACGACCACCTTCTTTGAGCCTGCTTTGTTATTGAACAGCCATGAGTTTTGGCATTAGCTGGAAAACCGAACATACAACTGCTCAGACAGGCCCTCTGCCTTGACTTTCTTATCACATATCCTCAAAAAGGTAAGACTTTTCAGTAATGATTTATATTTATGTCATCTAATAAATATATTAATAGTCCTCATATTGATCATTTGCAAGCAAATAATAATGCTGCAGGCTGGAGGATGGGGATAGGGCTAGCACTGCAGGCACCAACCTGCCAGCTGGGCCCTGGCCTGAGGTTAAGCTACCTGGAAAGATTCTGAAAGCTAGCAGGCAAGAGAGTGGATGTGATGTGGAAAGCCGAATGTGAGAGGGAATATTATGAGAAGCTGGCAAAAGCTACAGGTGGTGCTGTGAGGGCTAGCTGGATCCCTCATGTGGTTAAGGGGAATGTGTGTGAGCAACAGCCGAACCACACAGCTGGAGTGGAGCACTGGGGACATTCTGGGAAATAGGACCAGTGAGCCTGGTAACCATACCCATAATAGCACATAAGTCTGAGATAACCTGGCTAGCAGTGTCAGAAATAACAAACTCGGGAATGGATATGGCAAAACTAGGACTAAAGAGGAAAAAGTAATTAGGTGCAGGTTGTCTCTCTTGATTGAGGAATGGAAATGGAGATGCAGAGTGGCAAAAAGAGACATCAAGAAACACAGAAATGAATATTAAGATATGTAATTTCATGTGTCTGGGCATATTTGTCAAGCAGCCCTAACGCTTGACCACTGCAGCTGGAGCCAGACAATGAACCAAACCCTGTGTTTCTTGGCCATACCAGCAGAAGCAGACCAGCTTCCACCCCAGGCAGAGGACAGGGGTTGGCAGGGCAGGGAGGAGCTTTCATTTGCTGTCAAGTAAACATCGGGACAGACAGATTAAGCATCCCAGCATAACCACTTTGGTGACTGTTCCAGATCAGATGGCATTAGCAACAGCCCACCACTGTGTAACAGATAGGATTTCAGATTTTTTTGGGTTTTGTTTTCAATTCAGTTCATACAAGTAAACTACTGGCACCAAAGAAGGTGCCTTGTTTACCTTCAAACTCATGGTCTGCACTCAAGTGTCTTCCAGGAAAATAATTTGCATTGCATCTCCCCTGCCTTAGTGCAGGCATTTGATTAGGAAATACAAAATATACTCTTTGAAGTGATAGTTAGCAGTTCTGCAAGCACTCCCAGCAGAAGATATAAATGTAGATTTCAAAAACTTGTCAGGAAAAAGCAAGTTACTCAAAATTTACTTCATCTGAACTTTGGCTGAAGGTTTGATATCGACTTATTATACTGAAATTAGCCAGCTCATCTCCAACTAAAGAGAAATATATTTTGTATTCAAGCTCTGCAACATTTCATTCACTGTACCTCAGATCACCCACCAACCAGCAGAGACTTGGCTTTTCGTAATTTCCCCATATTGGTGTTGCCATACCACTGCATTTCTGTGGTGCAGCCACACCAGCACTACTTGTGAGCAGACCAGCTTAGAAAAGGTGATGAATGACCCTGTGGAGATTAAGCTGTGAAACATCTCTCATTGGCCTGAATACTGAGCACTGAATTTACCCTCACAGCCTTTTCTCCATGTTCCCAGGTCTCCTTCCCCTGGCAGGTCCAGGGTTTGTCCTAACTTGGACCTCATGTAGAGAAGCCAGTAGCCCTGTGCACCCAGAGTTTCAGCTCTTCTTTCCTAAGGCAGACTGCTCCATCTCACTTTAGAGCTCTTGTTTCCTTGCCCTCTGCTGTAACCTCTTCTGAAGGCATCTTTTGCTCCAGCCTCACCACAAGGAAAACAAGTTACTCAGATTCTGTATCTAAGAGTACTTTGGAAAACTCCATGTTGCCCAGACATTTGCAGGGGGCTGAAAAAAGTTAAGTATTTTGCTGAATACTCTCCTCTTGAACAGAAACATGTGCAAAGCTGGACTCCATATCATCAAATTCATCAGATATGCTAACCAATATCCACTGCAGAAGTGTTTGTGAGAACGAAGAGAATGCTGGGGGCCTTTAGCAGAGTTGGGAAAATGAACCACCATTAAGAACTCTACACAGTTTGAACTATTGATCCAGTTGACTTATTTAATTGTAAGCAAAATCTGTTTTGCCACCCTGGAGTTTTTATTCCTCACTGTTATAGAGATTTTCCAATATTATTGCCTTGGTTTGGGGAAAGAGTACATTTCTCTTTTTGTCCCATCAAGTTACATTCTCACATTAAAAAGAAATGTCAAGCAGCCAAGTTGATTTTCAGCTACATCTGCCTCCAGAGCAGACCTCTTCCCCTAGTTAACTAGTGGGATGGATCATAAGACACAGCTCAGGAGGCTTTGGAGTCTAGGCTTGATCAACAAGTTGACAGTCCTGAAAAAGGGCAGCTGATGTCAGGTAAAAGCAGTAAGAAGAGCAACATGAACTGCACAATAATTTTAGGAATACCATCAGGAATTCTGATGTAAACTGTTCAGATTTTTGAAGGTAAACCCACCACTCAATTCACAGTCACAATAAGCTTGTATGTAAGGGTTTCTGCAGCATGGAAGGGCAGTAGATCCTCCCTCCTGCACCATAACTTGACCGGCACCTTTGCAAAGGTCACAGTGCCCAGAAGCCCAGCCCCTTCACCACCACCCTGGCCAGGCTCTGATCCCATGCTTGGTAACACAGACAGCAGTAGAACTGGCTGGAGAAGAGGTACATCCATGTGCAGTTTCTAAACTTTCCAGAGCCCCTTCTTGCTCTGTTTTCTCATCAGGACTGAGAACCTCTGCACTAGTCAGAGATCCTTACAAGAAAGAGCAATTTGTCACCACAGGAGCATATTTTGTGTGCAATATCAATTTAGCATGGTGTGAAGATTCTGTAGAAATTGGAGCTAGAGCTATGGTATTAAGTTTAACACAACTGACTGGGGACCCACATCCTCACCTTCTTCAACTGTCCCATTTTCACTGCCTGCAAATTACTTACCTTCCCTTAGCCCCATCTCCTCCACTCTTGAACTAATACAATTCAACAATGCCTTTTTTGGTTCTATAGCAGCTAGTGGCTTAAATATAGTACAAGTGAAGATCCAGTGATCCAACTGTAAGTACAAATGAAGAACATTTGTTGGGTCCTCTGGCTGATGAAGTATTGCAGCCTTACTGAGAAGCCAGTCTTTGTAGGTATATCAGGGTACAGTTAGCTCCTAGTGTAGGATATAGAGAGCTTACCTGGAGACAGTCCTGCAATAGTCCCTAGGTCAGGTGTCTGTGGAGCTGATTTCTTTGGCTCCTGGAGACCTCTCCCTTCCAGTGGATAAATTACCAGCTATGTAACTGGTGAGCACATTATTCTTCCTTGAAAAGCAAAATTGGAAAGATGAGCAAATATCTCTCAAAATAATAATTAAAAAAACCCACAAACAAACAAAAAAAGACTTTAAAAGAATGAGGAGCACTTGGCCCTGAGAAACAGCCATACTGCAGCAAATGCAACACCCTCTCCTGAAAACTGCAGAAAGCCAGTATCTTGGAATTTGTCTGGGGCAACAAACTCTGCTGAAAAACATCACATTCATCTTGGCAAGAACAGCCATTACAGAATTAACTTAATTCTGATGGTTTTTAAACGAACTACCTTGTACAGTTCATAGGAAGTCCTTTCAGCATACAGTTTCACAGGGATAGCTGCACTCTGAGAAGGCAGATATCTTGGTGTGGGGAGGCAGGAACATTTGGGGGAGCAGACCAGGGGAAGGAATTCTAGTAGCACTGATCATCATTTTTGGAAACAGCAGTCAGTCAAGCAGATGGCAATGAAGCAACTGTTGTTCATCTCTGCTGATGGTATGTCAGATAAGTGAGGTGCTGAACACTCTGGAGTCACAGAGAGAATTGAGATGAATGGCTTCAGCTGGGTATCCTGCTCTTGGGAAACATGTTAGGCAGGGAGAGTCCCAGCTCAAGAGCTGCAGGATTGCCCTGCATAAAGCCTACACCATTATTTCTTGTTTCTTATGAATCTAGATATCACTGGGCTTAACAGCAAACAAATTTTGCTCTTCTGCCAACATTTTAACTGAGCATACAACCTTTCCCACATAGTCATTGCTGTGATTTACCAGAGAAATCATTTACAATTGCCACAATTAGGACAAAAGGCATAACTTCCACTGCCAAAGCATGGAAATTCCCTGTGTGACCTCAGCCCTTCAATACCCCTTGAAGGCAGTGATAGCCACCATCAGACTTTCCTCAAAAGGATGCTGAACTAGTCTGTCACAAACGTGTGGGCTAGTGAGCAAAAAAAGTAGCTAATTTTCCAACAGTGACTAAGTGCAACTCTGAATCTAAGGTGTGATTTGTCCTGGGTATACTGGCCTTCAAGGTTTCTGTGATGATATTTCGTGTCCCCTTCTCACCACCTATTTAATCTCTCCAATGGGAAACAGCCCAGGAAGGGGCTGGTCCATCCTGCCTCCCACACAGATGTCTGCACTGCCAAATCAGCACCAATGGCAATACCCTTTTTCATCACCAGGCCAGCAAGAATTCAACCTCACCTTCACATCCATAGGTACGTTCACATAGATACTTTTATTTTTGATACATTATTGGAGGCCCAAGCCTTTGGGCTGCAGTGATCTAGGGAGGGACTGCAAAGCTAAGAATCTCAGCAGGCATCTACACAGCACCCCTGCCATGCTGCCCAAGTCACAAGACAGGCAGGGAAAGAATTTCCAGCAAAGAAGAAAAAGCATAACAGAGTCCGGCAGAGGCACTGGTATTCATGGTAGTCCTCATCAAGTTCTATCCTTCCCCTTGCATCATTCTCATGAGTGGGAAAAGACATCAGTAACGTAGTCTACTCTCTGCACATAACTCCTCTTTTTGGATGCAGAGGGCCAGGCTGGCACAGGGAACATAATTTAAGAGTGTCTAACCTCATGCTTGGTAAATTGGGCCCATTATACAACCCCTGTCTGTATCACTGACATATAGAGTATATATTGATGAAGTGGAATTTTGCATGCTGAATAACATCCATACACGCAGGAGACATTTCCTGTTCTCAGTGCTGCTGTGTCATTAACTTTCCTGCTTGTTTTGACTGTTTATCTCTCAAGCTGAAGTGTCTAGAACTGTGAAAGCAACAGCTAAGAAAAAGTCATTAATACAAACATCACTAATATTTATAACATTCTGAGAAAAATATTCCGCAATGCATTGCCTTGTTTTCCACATAGCTCAGTAAGGACTAGGGTGCCTTGGAGTTCTATTCTGCTTCAGCTCTCTTCCATTTTCCTCCAAGCAGCGAGGGCGCCTCGGAGCAATGAGGATTTTCTGGCCCTTTAACAATCCCCTTGTCCGCCAGACTTCCTCCTTTCATAGCCCCCATGCGCTCCCTCCCCTCTCCCCCAGGGCTAGTTAATATGTGCCAAATCCTGACACCCTGAATGGTTTCCCAACGCCGACACTAATCACGTTTTCGGGAGCAGGTCAGCAGTGAAGGAGCTGAAATTCGTGTGAAAAAGTCCCCGGGATGGCCCCGGTGCCTCACACCTGCATGCCCTATTCATCTGCACTGTTTACACATTGTCATCCACAATTAATTCTTTCCAGGGACGCTCCACTGCCTGCCCTCCCGTTGCACAGGGACCCCATTCTGAGCTGTTGTGTCTGTTAAATTGAGCATGGGGTGCTGCGATTAAATTAAGTTTTGTGGCGCTCTCTCTCTCTCCCTCCCTCCCCTTCCCTTTTCTCTCTGTTAATAATGATGCCTGATGGAAGATTGCTGGCACTGGAGTAAAGAGGTAATTACAGGCACTAAAAGTAGGGAAAGAAAAATTTCTATGTGGAAATGTGAATGGGGACATCTTTTCTAGCTAGCCCTCGGTGCGAGGTGGGAACCGCAGCCCCGTGCAATGTCCAGGGTACAAGGAGGAGAGGAGGACACGGGGGCGCACACGAAGATCTCCCACAGAGCAAACGGGCAAAATCTGGATCTGTGACAGTCTTTACACACTGGCCTGAATACAAGTTTTCTTCAGCAAGTGACATTCTCACTTTCTACTACAGCCATGTTTGTGCATATATGTAGCATACACCAGCTGTGGTATCTTCTCCCAAGATACCATACCCAAACACACCAGGAGAAATTCCCTGGCCTAACCGGCTAGCAAGTCTCCTCACGCTGGCACACTTCTGCACTGTTGAGTAAAACGAGTAAAACATGGAATGAGAATAGCTCACTGGAGGTGAGGAGGAAAACAAGAGAAGAGGACAGAAATTTGACCAGCTTCTGCAAAACCTCAAGGCAGCAGCTTTTTTTTCCAAGTGTTTTACTTGTGCATGAAGTGGACAACAGGTTTTTATTACTCAGATGTCTTCAAAGTCAAAGAGCCATTTTTGTTGAGAACATGCAACTTTCCAAGCAAGTGTAGTTGGGTGGATTTGGCTTTATATCTTTTTTCAGCCACTTGCAGGACTCAATACCACAAGCAAGAAGGGCACTACCGTGGTAAGAAGGGCAGAGCTCAGCCCCTTCCAGCCAACAGCCTGGACTAGAGCTACAGCCAAGCTAAAGAACAGCCTCTGTTTTCTCATGTCAGACACACCAAAAAAAAAAAAAAAAAAGACACGAGAATTGCCTGAAGTTCTGAGGCCCCAATATCCAAGACACACATAACACATAACAAAATTAATTGACTACAAGCACAGTCTTTTATGTCTCGGCAAATAGCAGCCTCTCTGATTTTTATCCTGTGCAAGAAAATTGCCCCTGCAAGACAAAAATCTTCATGTTGGCAATTATAGAAACAGCCTCCTTATAAACACCACTGTAAAATATTGTTACATGCATATATGAAATGTGCTGGAAAGCATGTGCTACATCCCCCTCTAGTGCTGAACTACTACAGAATAACAACCTAATCCTGCTACTGCTTTCTTCAGGTGGAGGAGAGACTTTTCTGCAACAATCCATATTTAAAATCCAGAAAAAAACCTCAAGGGTGGCTGCCATATATGAAGGCATCTTTATGGAATGATTACGGAAGATGGATTCACAGGGGCTGAGAAATCCAAGAGTCCTTAAAATGAACAAGGCTTTAATATCTCCTAAATACCAATGAGCATCCAAAGTAAATCTGTTTTGTTTTGCAAGTCTCCTTATTCATTTTGTGCTTCCTCTTCAAAGCTAGGGAGCTGCATACATCACACACCTGATCAACACACAGCCCATTGCATCACAAGTCTTTAGTGCTTCATAACAAGCATTACCTGAGGAAATGCTCTCCAAGAACACCAGCTATATATATATATATATATATATATATGTATATATATATATATACCCTCCCAATCATCCTCCATCACAGCAGCCGTGGTCTTGCAGGCCTTACTCAGGTAAGGGGCCTGGCCAAGTCAGGCAGGGAGCACCAGCTTTTATCAGCTGCCTGTATCCTACTGCATCATCATGTCTCACTTCCTGCACCTACAGGGACAGTCAGGCCTGACCCCGAGGTCATAGCAGCCCTATGGTTCTGCAAAGTACGCGACAGCTCATAGCAAAGGCATTCCAACTGCAAGTCTCAGTTCCCAAGCACGCATGGCAGTGTGTGTTGCATGTCACAGACTCACCCCATGCTTGGAGATGCAGAGCTCTTCAGGTGGTCAGTCTGCATTTACTTTGCATCCCACTGTGGGATAGTCTCAGCTTGTTAGTAGGAGAGGGAGGAAGCCAGAGAGCAGTCAGGCATCAAGGAAGTCAGACCCAAAGAAGGTCCTGGGGAGGTTGAAGAGAGCAAAGACAGGCTGGCTTCAGCAGCTTACCTGGGTCAGGCTGGGCAGAGACCAGGATTTACAACCAGCATGGGCAGCAAACGTTGCTCTAGCTGACATCCTCAACTGGACATGGGAACAAGGCAGCACACACAACACCAGCACCATGCTCCTCTTTCCACCCTTCCTCACCCAGACAACAGACCCTGCTTATACTGTCCTTCCAACCTGCTACTACAGGCACAAAGCACACAAACTTTAGCAAAAGCCTCCAAGGCCTCCTAACAAAACAGGCCTCCTAACAGTCACTCAGCAGAGAGGAGCAGCTGAGCCAGGAGGCTCCCTGTACCAACAAGCCATGCTGCACCACCAGCTGCAAGCACTCTCTGCCTCCCCTCTGTATTCAGCCTCAAGGAGAAGTAAGCACCATCCTTCTTTCCAGATGGGTAAAACCTGCTAAAAACCAGCTGAACAAGGTCTTTACAATGGAGGCATTTGAGTAACCTCAGTGGCAAGTGTTGGGAGCAGCCCTGCCTACGAAACGTGAAGCAAAGGCTCATACTTAAATTATTTCCCTGAAGCAGAACTACTAGTACACTTAGTAATGTAACTATCACAAAACCTGCAAGCTGCCTACCGACTTTTCCTCCCACTGAAAACAATGAGAGTGGAGGATGTTCAGTAAATTATACCACTTGCCCAGTTAATAAACAATTCATAAAATTATGCATGGTTTTGAAGTGCTCTATAAAAATATATTAATCAATCATTAAATAATTAAGATAACTCTCTGTTCTTTTTCTCTGGCACTCCCAAGTTGATGGATGTTCCTATAGCAACAGAGGAGCAGGACTGAGGGCAGGGGGAATGCAGGGCTCAGGAGGCGATGCTAGCGCAGGACCTTTGCTCTCCAGCCCTCCAAAAGTCATGCAGGGCAAGCGGAAGGGGGCTGCGAGAGGTGACATGCAGGAAGGAGGCTTTCAATTTTAATGGAGATTCTTACGATGACAGTCTATGCAAATAGGTACATGAAAGAGGAGAGGAAACAGACTGGGGGAAGGGGGAGAGAAATTAACCCTGGTTCAGATTTCAAAGCAAAGCCAGGAATAATTTTTGGAGCTAAGAATAGTTGCAATGCACCTTGTTCTCCCTGGGTTTGAGCCCTGCATAATTCTTAGACTCGGAGTCTGAAATTACAGCCGGGAGGGGGAGGGAAGTCAGACTGCACAGTCCAGGAAACGCCGCTGTCCCGGCTGCAGCTTCATCACCTTTATGGTTCTTTTGTGTCACCAAAAGGCACTATTTAACAAAGGAGCTGTCCTTTTGCTTTTGCAGGGCCATTGCAGTTGTTTTGCAAATGAGATTGCTTGATTGCTGAGCAAAATCAGAGATCTTTTGAAGCTGTTGCCCAGGAAAGGGGGAGGGCAAGGGATTCAATTATCCCTCACAGAAAGTCGTAGGACCTGCCTGGTCTTATAGAGAGCTGTTGAGAATGAGCCAATGCAACTTTTGAATTTACTTTTAGGTAAAATTCATGAGAAATCCCAGGAAGACCCTACAGCCACTTCCAGAAAAGAGAGGAGTCTGCTGAATTGCCAAGAGAAACTCCTGTCCCTATTGCAGCCCACTCACCTTCCTCGGGGACAGCCAAGCCAGAGGCTGCCCCGGCCCCTGCTAGCCTCTGAGAGGATGAGTGGGGATCTTTAGCTTGTCGGGAAATCTGCCTGACCGACACTAAAGGGCAGCTCTGTCGCTAAGTCCAGGGGGCCAGTCTGCAGACCCCCAGGAGCTTATTGGTGTAGATCAGATCGCATCAAAACCTATGCAGGCACTCACTGGGTGACCTTTTTAATCAGAGCACAGCTTCTGCAACACAAAAAGTGCCTCTGGGAATTCAGGGATGCTGCTGACAAGAAATGGTGTTTTGTGGAGGTGATCTGGAACAGAGCGCTTTGCTTCAACTGTCCCAAAATTTTTCATTTCAATTGAGTTTAGCATTGAAATGAATTTTCCCGAAAAGGCCTCTCTTCTTTCCTGTGCATGGGGCTTGCGGCTGAGTTGCATTCACTGAGAACAAAATGGACCTGGCCCAAGCTTCATGGGAGCTGGGCAGAGCTCCCAGGGAGCACAGCCCAGAAGAGAGAATGGGACCCAAACCCAAGGAAAGGCGCTGCCTACTTTAATGTTAAGCAGACTCGAAACTAAATGTTTCATGTCAGTTCAACAAATTGAAACAAAACATTCCTACCTCACAAATGTCAAAATGCTTCACTTTGATCCAAAAAATGTCAAAACGGAACATGGAAACATTTCTGAACATGACTGTTTTAATTCCAGGAAACAATTTTTCCTGGTTTTTTGCCACAGTTTGCTCTGTTCTGAAAAACAGAAATTCAAAATTTCACAAAGCTTCACTTAGAGCCATTTATCACAGGAGGGACCAATATTGCATATACACGCATGTGTCTGTGTGAACACTCTCATTCACATGCACAGCACATCCACTGTGTCTTTCCCCCGTGGCACTTTCGGACTCTCTCCAGGCTGATTTCACCACCCATATAGCTGCTAGGCCTCCAGCCCCATCACCTGAGGATGCCCTTCAGTCTGTAGAAGGTCCCATGTGCCTGGGAATACCCAATACAAGTGCACTGTCAAACATAAGCAATGGATGTCCACAAGATACCTTAAAAACAGAATGTTTAGGGCTGGCACTGCCAGCACTACCATCACCACAGGGTTTGCACACAATCCAGGTCCCTTTAGATTCCTCCTATTCTCAAGTAGGGCAGACACAGGCTTTGGTCTGACTTGTTTCAGACCTCATAGTTTGGTGATGATGTGACTAACGAGAAACTGGTTTGAATAATCTCCTTGTTTGAGAAGCAATGTTAAAACCAGCACTTACTTAGAGAAAAGAGGGAAGGGTTTAGAAATTTCACAACTTTCATATAATTTGACCAGTAATGTTAATCTATATTCTGATGATCCTGTCCACTGAGCATGGTTAAAAACGCTAATATGGAGAAAGGCGACATGCTCTTAATCATGTACTGCATGCCCAAGGTGGATCCACATGTCTATTTTTGCTTCAGTAGATGAGATCCTAATGCTGCATCCAGTAACAGTTTGATGACTTTGTATGGACACTACTTTCAGTGTTCTTGCCATGCAGCTGAAGGCTACAAACATGGCTGGCTGTGTCACTGGCCCCTTGGAGAAAGTGCTCCCATTTTCTGTGCCAAGAAGCAGCTAAAAGCACAGGGAACAAAGTCTTCCCCTGTGCTCCTCCCATGCCTACCAAAGCTTTCTGGTTGTTCTGTTTACCCATTTGCTTAGGATATCCCTCTTCTTTCAAAAAGCTAAAAGGCATCCTAGAACATCTTTGTACATTTATTTTTCACAGTCTTTCAGTGTTGATTTTGTCTCTACCACGTGTTTCCAAAGAGGGTCTCTTGGTGCCAGGTCCTATCTTGTTTCTACAGGTGAAATGTCCTCATAGGGGTACACTATAGCTCTCTTGCACAGTGGGATAGCTGACATTAAAAGATTAGCCACATATACCTTAGCCCTCCAAACCAAACTGGCCAGGAATGGGGCTTCACAGTCCTCTCCTGCCAGACTCTCAGCATCTCCTGCCTAGGTTTCCCTGCTACAGACCAATCTTTCCATGGTGCCTCCATATTGGGGAACTTTTCTGTATCTTGGTCTCTTCCTTATTGGGGAAAAAAATCTTCTTTTAAATATTTCCCCACCAGCATTTCTGCAAAAGCACCTCTCATCATCCCTGGACACACAATGTTCTACCAGGAAATATATTTCTCATTTTGTATTAATAACCAATAATGATTCATTCTGCTAATTCTCTGATTCTCTCCAAATCTTCCAAACTCATTCACCCTCTAAGCATGTAAAAATAAACTGCAGGAACAATTCATATTGCATCTACAGCTAAACACTCTCTTGGGTTCCACTGTTGCCAAACAGTACCCTTCAGACTCATTCCCTGTGGGTTGGCAGTAGCTCAGGGCTTGAGGCTCTCTGAGGCTTGGATCCGATGCAAAATCAGTCTTCTTGCTGAGACCTTGCAGTTTCTTCACAAGGCTTTTGCAAAAACCGAAAAGAACATCCAGAAGACCTTATCCATCACTGGGCTGTCCTGGGCTGAGAGAGAAGAGTGGATCTGAGACAGGCTGTCTTTCAGGTAATGATCGTTGCCACCTCCTAGAAACAGCTTGCAGCAGCCTTGCCAATTGCTGAGTTTCATCCCTAAATATAGGAAGGTTTTAGGCTTTAAAATATGATGCAGATGAGTAAGAGATCTTCCTTTTAGGGATAGAAGTGTAGCAACACTTCGTGGAAGCAGTATATCACCTTTGAGAACCAAGGCATGCATTGTTTTAAAAATAGAAGATAATAAGATAAAATAAAGAATAACCAGAGGAACAGAGAAAATTGGTGTGTAGGTTATGTTCCAAAAGCCTCCCCAGTGAAGCTTCAGAAGTGCTCTGTTGCCATCAATCCCTTTGAAGATTATTTCAAGGCTGTACTAATATGTGGATCTTGAGTGCAGCTGTTAGCATGGGCACATATCTAATCAAAGGGGCCTAATTATGTATATTACCCAATTTGACACTTAGGGAGCACTTCAGTGATGATTCTTCTGCTTGTCTGACAAATAACATGATTATTCAGTAAGCTGCATATGTTTTAATATTGAATTTTTGTTCTTTCATAAGTAACTGTCTAGCTAACCAAAAGTGCTTTTCACTTGTGAAGTCATAGTCAATATTAGCAACCAGATTCAATTAATTATGTTTAATAAGCTAATAAATATATTTAGGACTCTTTGTGCTATGCTCAGTCACCTTTAGAAAACATTTCATCATTAGTCACCAAAAAATGAAGGGTTCTCTTTTTTTCAAGGATGTCAGCACTTTAAAAACTTCAGTTTAACATTATAAATTAAATGCAATTTGTTTTAAAAATAGATTTTAAAATTGATGCTTGTTTTTAGCTTTAAGACTGAAAGCAGATTCTTTATATATGTCTCGGATTTATGGGAGAAGCAAGGAATTTTTCAGGAACATGTCAGAAATAAGTCGGTGGTGCTCATTCTTAGGGTTTCACTATATTAAAAATGTGTAGAAGACTGCTGCTTCTCCCACCCTGCTACAGTGCTCCCCAGCACAAGCAGAAAGCAAGGTTTTTCCTGTGACACCTAAAGAATGAAGGAGACTGCCAGCAGAAGGACAGTGGGATGGGTAGTGACGAAGGTTGCAGAGCTGAGCCATGCTTTAAATCATCTGTGACAATGAGATGGGAGACAAGACAGGAGCCCGACAGACTTGGGTCAAGGTCTCGAGGACATGAGCAATCCTACCTGTGCATACAACAATTTGCTTTTCTTCTCTGTCTTTCTGCCAACCTTACTCATCTATTGTTCTCATAAGTATATTCAGGAAAAGGACTGAGAAAGGCCCCTCTGGAATTGTTGTTTTACCTTCTATCCCCATCGCATCCACAGCTGCCAGAAGGACACATGGTTAGGAGAACCTGCCAGTTTGAGCAGCCTTTTCCTTCCTTTCATCCATGCACTGAAAGGATAATGTGAGAAGAAAGAGACCTTGTAAGTCATCAGGTGACCAGAAGCACATCACCTTCTGTGCTTTTCTTCCCATGACAAGGATTCCTCAAATCTGCAAGAGAGAAATATGCAAAGCATGGAGTTGGGTACAGGAATGAAGCAAACTCTTGAGCTGCAGGGGAACTGGTGTAACAGAACAGGAAACCACACAAACTGTGAGGTGTCTAGTCAAGACTAGCAATAAAAAAGTGTCTCTACCAGAGTCAGTGATGAGTAGGTAGGACCAAGGCAAGAGGACTGAGGAATTACTCGACAGGATGAACCGTGTGATGTCCAGATGAGACATCACTGATACCAGCACAAGTCGTGGCCTATTGGCTTTGGCCAAATTCTTTTGGAAACTCACTGGCAAAAACAGCTGCTGATCAGGGGAAAGACAAGAACCCTCTTTTCCAGCCCCAGTGTGGACATGTAAAAGACCCCCAAGTCAGCACCAGTTGCGCACTGTCATCAGCATGAGTACCCTGCCCCATCCGTCAAAGAGGTGGGTCTGCAAGGGCACAACTCAGCTAGTGCTGTGTTGAGTGGTCCTGCTCCATCTGGTCAACTAAAAAGTGAGTGAGCCAGTACGACTGGAGTTTGCATGGCTGTCAGTGTAACACCCTTTATGTAAAATTGAAGCATTAATAATAAACCACATAATAGTAATTGGAATACAGGTATCCTAGTAAAAGATGGGAGTGTATTGTTCAATATTCCCCATATTGGTTGTCATCTGATTCAGCCAGCAGTCTCTGTGCAAATCAATCATGAAGTTCCCAGCCTCAGTCGCTCTGTGATACCAGGCCTCCTCCCCTAGCACCCCACATCATTAAAAGTAATTAAACTCTTGTCCTGTGTCCAGGTGTCACAAGACACCCGGTAAGTCTCACCTTTAACTACACACTTGGATGTGCTGAAATAACAGCACTGCAGATGCTGCCTCTGGGGCTCAGCCTGCTCCTACCAAAGCACTAGGTGAGCTGCTGGCAGGGCACCCCCAGCTCTGCTTGGCTTCCCAGGGCACAGTAGGGAGCTGCAAATGAATCAGCAGTGCCCCACTGCAGGTCAACACACCCAGCTATCTGTGTTTTCCCTTGTTTGTCAGTTTCCATCAGCCTTTATTTTCCTCTAAATCTCTTTGGGGTACCAATTAATCCAGAGGGTTTTCATTTACTCTGGCTGTCCAAATCAGCAACACACGAATACCCCCCACAATCGCTGCCAACAGCTCGTAATACATTTTAACTGCTCCTTGGCCTTTGATGTGTAAGCCTTCTGGGCAACATTATCATTACCCTTTATTTACCTCTGTATGTGAAGGCAGCGCTGCACAGCCACTTGCACATGCTAAGTGCGACTAAAGTTTGCTTGTGTCTGAAGTAAAGCACATTGGCCTAAGAACCACGCAAGAATTTTGCTAGCAAAACCCTGAACCAGCCAAAATAAACACCAATATTATCCCAGGTTATGGAGAGCTTATTTTCAAAGTGGATTAGCAAATACAGGTATGAACAGGACAAACCAAAAGAGTTGTTTACCTAGGGAGAAGACTTAGTGGGAGAAAGGAGACCTGGTTGAGTCTGGAAGCGTGGACATCATGTCAGGGTAAGCAGATAGTGTGCCTTGCACACATGCACATGCTGGAAGTAAGAACACTGTTCTAGCTGAAACATTGGATACAGGCAAACTCATGAAAATGTAATGGGCAAATTTTGGTGAGCCAGGGTGATTTCAGTTCCAGGCTGGGGCATTCTTTGCAACTTTGGAGACATTTATGGGTTTGAGGGTTCTCATAATTGAAATAGTTACAATTGCATTTCTCAGGGAACATGAATACGCATGGGTGGCATTCAGGCTATTGGTTTGGAAGGGCGCTCACCCCAGCTAGGAAAATGTGAAAACACTCAGAGCCCTGCAGGATTAGTTGGACACGGCACAGGTTAGCTAAAGATGGTTTCAGAGGATCCACACAATCCACGAGTGCTTACAATAGGGGGGTGGAGAAACAAACTCCCTGTAATAAGTATTTTTGTGGGAAATGATGGGTATACAATCTTAATATGGGTGTGTCATATTAACACACAGAGTCCCCATGCCCAGACAGTGAAGGAGGAGATCCTGGGTAGTGAGGGAGGAGATTTGGACTTTGCCCAGCCAGGTTGTAGCCTCTGAAGTTTTCTACTGGTCCTGCTATCTTCTCTGACCAAAAGTGATAAACGACTCCCCCCACCTCCATGATCATCCTGAAGCTGTGAAACAAAGCTCTGCTCACTGTTGCCCTCCTCTACCCAGAGGGCTGATATTTCACTTTTTATGAATTCAAATCAGGGCGAAGCATAATTGAGCAGGGCGAAGCATAATTTTCCTATTGCAGGCATCATTCTGCAAAGGATGCAATGGGCTATGCCCTCATAGCACAGAGCTTGGTGTAGCAACCATGGCCAGTCTCCAGGTGCTCCAGTTCTGCAAGGGACTTGTGCTGGATTAAACTAGGACTACCCCACAAAACTGTGAGGAAGGCAGAAAAAGGGGCTGCTTGCAGCATGTTGCTGCATCTGTCCCTAAAATAGGAATGAGCCTTCCCCACTCACCCTGAAAGCATGTGGGGATAAACAGACCACAAAGTGGAGCTATTAAAACAGGTCCAGGGGAGGCTTGGTTTCAAGCAGGACGTGGGACACCAAACAATAGCTGCCATTTTGAAGCAGCTAGAGCCCAGGGTGCTCTTGACAATGTGGTGGAAAACACCGTCTCAGGGTACGACCCTTGCTTGCGAAATAAAGAGGCCCCTGAGAATTCACTGTGCAATGGCTGCTGACGTGCAAATTCAGAGCTGAAAAACATCAACTGTACTTTCTAAAAATATGAAAGAGCAGTGCCCAGGGGAGAGTGGCTTGGGAAGGAAGAAGCAGAGGAAAGAGCCCAACGGTGTTCCTGCATCCCTGCAGGATTTCTGGGAAGGTACCATGCCTTTCCATGCCCTGCAAAGAGCAGGGTCACACTGGGGGCCCCGCTCACATCAGTCACCACACCATGCAAACAAGCACCTGAAGGAAAGAGCCCCTTCCATTTGTAAGCCTTCAGGGAAGATTACATCCCTACAGCAAGCTTTGCCCACTGGAGACAATCCTCCAAGACAAGCTGTTGGCTTGCAAAGGAGGAGCCATGCACTTGGCTGCAACTGAGAGGAGGACAAGAGCTGCTGCTGTCCCAGGTGATCTCCCCAGGACCCTCCTCACCAGGAGAGCAGGCTTTAAGACCTTGGAGAGGCTTTGCTGCCCAGCAGGTCTGAACCACATGGCCAGATGCACCCATGCAGGGCAGCCTCTGCGGTGATCCTGACCGCTGCCACCATCTCCATCTGCCCTTCCAAGCCCCCAGAGATGGAGAGGGCTCCTCAGCTGCAGGACAGGTCAGCCAAGAAAAAGGTGCAGAAACAGTTAAAGTAGCTGGTAAATAAAATTCCCAGCAGAAAAAAACATGATCAGGGCAGAGAAAAGCATCCTTTCCAGCACTGCCAACCCCACATACTCAAAAATTATGCATCAAGATCCAGAGAATCACAGCTTTAAAATTGCAAGGGGTTTTGTTCTGGTTTTTTAAAGAAAATTATAAATGTTTGAGCTTTTCCTAATTGCAGTCTGGTTTCCTGAAGTTTATGATCACATTTTCAAACTTTTCTGCAAATCCCTGAGGGCTATGAACTTCTTCTTTTTTTTTTTTTTTTTTTTATAAAATAAAATTGAGGAGCTCACCTAATGCCCATAGCTTTGGGGCAAACAGCAAAGATCAAAAGACACACTAAAATGAGGACTATAGGAAACACTGGAGATCTCAGGAATGAACACCCTCCAGTATACATCTTATCATTTTCCCCCAATGTTCCACAAAAACACTTTTAGAAGATATTTTGCTGTTTTAACAAACATCACATTGCTTAAGTACTTTATTTGCCAGCATGAAGAGCAGGTCTTCAGTGGCATTTTGCTTCCAAGAATAATGTTGTTTGCAGCCAAGGCCTGCAGAAAAGTTAAAACTGAGGCTGCTGTCCCTGGCTAAGGGGACCAGAGAAGCACACAGTTTCCAGAAACATGTTGTGTGCTCAAGGTTGCTGCTGTTCACAGAGCAAGGAAGGTTGTGAAACGTTACCTTGGTAAACTCAGACCTGACTTTCCATCTTTAGCCTGATCCATACAGAAATATATTGCCCAAAAGGCATCAGCTTATTTTCTTTGTCTTCAAACTGCCATGTCTTACAGGGAGACCTGTGTTACAGGCAGACAGGCTGTGGGAAATGTATCAGCCAGTAAAGAGCTCAGTGATCCTGCAAGATTAAAGGCTGATCTGAGTGCAAACTTGCTATCGTGCCTCTTGAAAGGATTTGGCATGTAACGGCCTGATTATCGATTGCTGTCCTTAAGAGAATGTGATCCTCTCTTTGCACTGATCCTGTTAGCTTTATTTATGGTAACACGTGCTGAAACATCCTCTTGTAGAGATAATGGCCTCCTTTGGTTGCTGCCAGAATGAACAAATGGAAACAAAAACATGCTGCTAATAATTATGTCCTACTCTAATTAAAACAAGACAAAAACACTGCACTGCTGGGTTTGGTTTGCCATGGCCTGGGTGCTCGGACAAGCCCCGGGCATGAGGGCTGACCACAGGAATGCCAATAACCAAAGCACAGCAGTGCCTAATATATCAGTGGAACTCAAAACCACAAGGTTTCCACCAGCCCAGAAACTCAGCAAAACATTCATGAAGACAAGAAATATGTTTGGTACCCAAACTGGGATCCAGCTACATGGAGGCTGCTCCTCTAGGCAGAGCTCAGCCCACATGAGCTTAATAAGCTGCCAGAGGTGATGGCAGATGGGTAAAGTACACAAATTATCAAAGGTTTTTTAACAGTCCTCTTGAACTTTTCATGGCACATCTGCACCATGCAGAAAGGCCAATAGCTCAGTTCAGGCAGAAGGCAACAGCTGTAGCAGGATGGTTGAAGGGAGGCAGAATTTGGTTTGCCTGTGTCCCACAGCAGGACATTAAGCAAGAAAATAGGTCTAGCTCCCTTCTCCTGTAAGTGAACACCATAAGCTCTGCACATGCTGCCTCTTCAGTCTGAATCAGGGTCCAGTCACAACAGGTGCAAATTGAAGAAAAAGGAACAAAATAAGTGGGGAAGAAAAAACAACAAATGCCTCCACAAATCCAAAATAAAAAGCAGTGGCACAGCCACACCACTGAGCACTCACAGAGCCTGCCCTGTAAACAAAAAGTATCCAAGTACTGCTGTACACATAAATATTTATATAGGATTACTCCACTGATGGATTGTGAATAACAAGAGCTTGGTCAATACTCCAGGATTACCCAGGGATGACCAGACTTCAAACATGCCTTAGGATATGGTTTCAAGAGCCCCATCTCAGCTATGGTGCTGACTTGTGAATTCCTGCTGTCCCCTATGCCCTCAGGCTGGCACACTTGGGACACCCCAGTGGCCTGTGGGAGTCAGGCTTTCACACCAGCCTTTCTGTGGATGCTGAAAACAGAAGCAGGCTTAAAAGAAAACTGTAGCAAGAACACGCTATGCTTATTGCTTATTAAGGTCAAATTGCTTCCCCACTGCTTTTCCCACAAAGGAGATGGCTATAGAGCAGGACCAAGACCTAGACTGATCCCAGCCGTCCCCTCAATTGCTTTTTTGGTCCTCATGAAGAAGTGCAGTGTGGCTCCAGCCACTTCTGTCTCTTAGGGAGCTCTTTGCTGCTAAGTAACTAACATGTCCTCTTCTTGAAACTCTTAACACCCATGGGAGAGAGAAAAATCTGACCTTCTAATACACACAGTCTACAGCTTCCACATAAAGTCCATGAGTAACCACAAGTGTAAGAAAGAAGAGAGACAAGGTCATTTCGAGGCACCAAAGTCAGTGATACAAGAATGCTGAAGGAGCAGACAAGGACCAGGCAAAGCCACAGGCTCCACAGTGGCATCACAGTGGCTAATAATACTACTTATTAGCCCTGCAACTCCAAAAGGTCAGCTTGGTCCTATAAGGTCAGGCATGCATTTAAATACAGATCTGTTTTGGACTGGATTACTTAAATTATTTCTTCTTTTTGTTCTCCAAAAAAGATATTTTTCCTCCTCATGCTTTTTAGAAGTCTTTCACACAGTCACCTGGGGACTCATTTTTAAGATTAACCGTGGTAGTAGTTTCAAGGCTTTCTCCTGGACATGGAAATTTCTCTCACTTATAAAGGCAATTTGGCTGCCCTTCATATGGGAGTTCGGGGAGCAGCAGGAGGGGAAAAACTGGGTGATGAGTCTACATTGTTATAGACCTCCTGGCTCTCCCTGGGGGTTTACATAAGGGTCTTGGACTCTTTCATTAATCCTTGGTGATTCTTGATTGCCTTATTTCTTACTTTCCACTTCCCTAACCTTTATTAAATCTTCCTATTCATTATGTAGGAAGGAGGGCTAGTTCATATCACTAACAACAGTTTAAAGCTACGACATCAGAACTTGAGCACAATTTACCCAATGAAATGATTTAAAGTATAAGTTTTGATAAAAACAAAGCACACTCACCTCAGTTGAAGGTGTAATTGCCCTTTGTAGATGTACAGCATCCACAGCTGGAAGTTAGGCAAGGGACTGGGTAACCTTCTGCTGCCCAGATCAGCTCTCCCAAGCTCATGTCAGAGTCTTCCCGTATGACCCAGAGAAAACATATCATTCTCTGTATAGTTATCACCCCACAAAGGTCAAAAGAACAGTAGACAAGGTTCATTTCTCCCATGAAACTAAGAGCAATAGTTAGGGCTATACAGATTGGAGACAGGCTTAAAGAATGCTCTGCTGTCCTGCTGACAGCATTTTATCAAAGTTGCAAGAAAACTTAAGCTGTCATATTTTTCTGAAGCTGTTGACGTCTGGTCCCCTAGGAAATGAAACAGTCAAGATTAACTAGACCCACTAAATACATAGTTAACAAGTAACTACATTAAACAATATCTCTTTTCCTACAGAGAAAAATAAGCATCACAGACATAAACACACTTCCTTCTATAGAATTTCCTCTCAAAAATATGCCTTTAAGGTGATTCTACTCCAACACCATGCTGACACCCTTCCTGTGGGCAGAGGCAGCAAAAACAGAAACACCTTCTGTATCTGGGAACGTGGGGTGCCCCCAGTGCTCCCCTCAACACATCAGCAGGAGGGTTTCTGCCCCAGACCTGCAGCCTTCTTCCCACCAAGGGAAAACAGAGTCTTTCCCATGTAACACCACATTGCCTGCTGCTACAGGCTCCTTAGGGAAACAGAGAATGTACCTCAGCAGCCAGAAATCCATGGCAACCTGTGTTTGCCTACCATAAAAATCACCCTTCTCCAGAAGCGGAGCTCTCTGTCTGGAGCAGATCCCTTAGGGTAGTAACACCACTGAGAGAATGGGGCAGGACGCTTCCCTCCCACCAGGCCTTTTGGCAGTTTCCAGTGCTGGTAAAAAGCCTTGCTCTAGAAATTTGGAGGAAGATTCAGTGCACTGATATAATAGAAATGTTCATCTAAATGGCTGAAGTACCTCACACTCTCAGGAGCAGCATTTCTTTCTCCAGAGCTTCCCACACTGCTTGAGGCATAAACAATGCCCACCTGGCCAGCAAACTCAAATTTAAAACACCCTCCCTGACACAGAGAAGAGGCATCAGAGTAAGCTTCTTTTTCACTGCTGACCAAATGGAGCATGCTCCAGCAGACACTACTGAGTCGACTCTGGGTCTCTGGCTGGGATGAAGCCATCAGTAAAATTACACAGGGTGCAGCATCTCCACTCTGACTGTTTAAAATAAATGTCACTAAACCAGACAGATGCTGGCATTGTGTCCCAGCAGGTACTAATTTAGCCCACACAGAGTGCTCTTACATCATTTGTTCTGGGCACAGCTTAATTGGTAAATTAATTACTTTCCTATGAAACAAAATTGTACAAGAGGTAATCATGTGATTTTTAAGCTTGATGGATGCTAAATGAGATTTGAATAAATAAAAACAACTTTGACTCCTGTCTACGCTCAGGATTGCTGAGAGTAGCACCACCAGGGTAGGGAGCCAGCAAATGCCTAGCAGTGGGGAACAGGGCACAGCTGCCACCAGGAAGGCAGAGGTGCAAGGTCCCAGCCACCCTGGCATTGGGTGCCGGATGGGGCCACCATCTGTGCTGGAATGCTGCAGCAGACACAGCTGGGCAATGAACTGCAGGTCCACAGTGCTGTCCATTCCTGGCACTTCCCAGTGGCTGCAGGAAGTCTCCAGGGTATGCGCCCTGTATCATGACAGGGCCTTCAGCCTTGCTGCAGGGAGCCCTGCAGGACCATCCAGAGCTGGGGGAGCCTCTCCAGCCCCCCTCCATATGTGCTCCTTCCTTGTGATATGCTGGATAGTCCCTGCCATAGTGGAGTTGGTGTGGCAACACACTAGCACCCAGCATGGGGCTGAGGAGAGAGGGGAGTGTGGCCATCACCGTGTCATCAGGCTACAGCTGATCTCGGCCAGTGATACACAGCAGCTTCTGCCCAGAGTGCTCCATGCCAGGTGGTGAATGGTTTGCATCTCAAGACCAGCCCATTCAACTTCTTTTTGTTTCTGACCCTATTGCAGGGGGCTCAGACACAAGCAGTGCTAACCACCACTCCAAACACAGAACTTTTCCTGTGACAGGACAGAATAGACCTAGATTTTAAATAGAAAACTTCCATCTAAATGGGACTCATCTTCAGGTGATGACAGAAGTGAAAAAATATGGAGAGTACGAAAACTGTGGTGTGAGGGAGCCACAGCTGGAACAAGTCATGACAAATCATGATTGCCTCTGAAGAAGCTCCTTGTTCCATTCCCTGACAGCCTCTCCAGCATAGTGCCCACATGTGGGCAGGGCTGTGGTGGGCAAAACCTCAAAAACACAGAGAAATGAGCAAACTGATTACCCAAGCACATAACTGTACAGTTCTCATTGTTTTCTCAAACCTTACCTGAGCAAAATATGGACACAAGATGTTGAAGTCATGCCTGGTATTGTGGGCCAAGAGAAAGTGAAATCTGACATAAATCAAGCACCACTGCTCCTGTCGGGCACATCTGATGGAACAGAGCCTTTGGGCAACTACAGGACTGAGCTCAAGTTATATTAAGTTCTGTAAAAACACAGAAGAGACAATGATCGCAGCTGCAAACTAGAAAACTGGACTTCAGCTTCTCACTATTGAAAGAAGCACATAAGCCATTTTTTATTTATCAGATAAATTTATAAAGCTGCATTATGAAAGCATGAACCACTAACTCCTTTTAAAAAAGGAAGTCCACAACACAGCTCATTTTGAGCTCCAACAGGAAGTCTGCGAACTTGTATTAGTTTCCTTATTCATTTTTTAAATGCCTCCTTTAATGCCTCCAGTTTGTTAAGTGTCCCGTGATGCCTGTTGTATTAGGCCATATCTCTGAATTTGGGACTATTTGACTTCATAAAGGCGACCTAGGGAACCTACGGTGAGACTGTTTCAGGAGGCCTGTTCCCCGCGGGGGCGCCGGGGCGCTGGGCATGCGGCCACTGCCCTCCAGCGGCGGGAGCCGGGCAGGACCCTCCGCGCAGCTCCGCGGATCCACGCAGAGGGCCTTGCGCCGGGGGATGGCTGCTGGAGCACATATGAGTTGAGAGAGAAAAAGCGGAGAACATCTGAAGAACAGCTCGAAGTTTACCTTTTAGGAACTAAGACCTTCCAGGAAGCGGCTGAAGGAAGGAAAAGGCGTGCTTTGCCTCGGGATGAAACAGGCAGCTTCTCCACCAGGTCAGCAGCAGCCCTGGCAGGCTACCAGCAGTATGCTCACACAACACCCAGGCCCGCTGCATGGGAGCATGCTCCTTTCTCCAGCCATGCCCTTCAGCCATCCCACCTCCTGCATCCCACCGAAGGGAGCAGCAGCTTTAGAGCCAAGATCCAGTTCTCTTGGCCACACCTGAATGCAAACTCCCAGCTCCAATGCTCATGTGAAACAACTGGATGGCCCAGGATGAGCCAGGGTGAAACAATGATACTAATTTATTCTGCTTCCCTTGACCAGTTTCTCCCTTGGCTCCCATGGCATTTCCTCCATTAACTACTGGGAAGCAGCAGGAATGCTTGAACAATAAACAGCTAGCAGGCGTTTTTTTAACTATTAGGGTAGTTGAAATATTCTTCTACAGCCCTGCAAAGACAAAGGGTGAGAGCATTAGAACACTGTCGTTTTTAAGAACCTGAGCTGCACTGAGGAAGGGGCTCCAGGTGCTGCTGAGGCAGTGACACTTAGTTGCTTGTCTTGACCCTTTTCTCACCTCTTACAAAACTGAGTGCACAGCTAAAAGGCAAATGCAGTGAAAAACAAACATTTCCTTAGGAAGACTGGGGATTTGCAGGAAAGAAAAACCTGAAGGGAGGAGTAGAAAGAGATAAGGAATTGCTGTGGGCTTCACTCACACATTTTCACTTATTTCCTATGGATCTTGCTCATGTGCTACTTTGGCAGCCTTTGCTTGTGTCTAGAAATCTTGCAGATGCCCAAGGAAAAATGAAACACATACAGTGCTGTAGGCCACCTCCTCCTGCTTACTCAGCCAGGGCCCAGCAATGAGGTCAGGCAGTTGTCAGTAACACAGAAGTCTCAAGGCAAAACCTGTGATTTATGGGGAAGGGCCTTGCCTCCAAGCATGGCATTGTGGTACTCACAAAGATGTAGGAGAAGCCTTGGGCATGGATGTGCAAAGCCACTGGGAGCTGCAGGCACTGCTCCTCTGCACCTGATGAGGGATGCCTGTGCTGGGCTCCTGAGCTGTTGTTGGGGCTTTTCTAGCCTGGCTGCCAGCCTGGAAAACAAAGTTCCCAACCAAAGCAAGAGCGAGTGAGGAGGAACAAGGAGACCAGCTCCTACATTCCTTCCTGCTGCCAGCAGCGTTTCCAGAGCAATAGGGCTGGAGAAGCTGAGCCTATTGAGCTCCCAGATGAATAGGAGCAATGGACATGCTACTGAAGAATTATAATGCCCTTCAACATAGGGATTAGAACTCAGCCTTAGGGCAGCAAACCTCCCTGATTAAAATCTCTTCCCCCGTACTGCAACACAACTATCCTATAACAACTTCCCTATCTGTGAGGCTCTTTTAAACCCAGGCTTTATATTCTGCAAGCAGAGGACAGGATTCTACCAAAGGGGAAACACTTTCTTGATGCAGAAGGAGTGAAGAGTGCTATTACTCACCAACTTCACGCAGGAAGGGATGGAGTAGCAGGTGATTTGACAGAAGCCTCGTACAGCTGCATCCACAGGCATGTGGGGTAATGACATTCACTTTGCTCTAGTCTAATGTGTTCAGCTATGTTTCTCGAGTCTCTCCCTGGACCTAGGGACAATTTGAAGGCAATAAATGTCTTAAATGAAGGCAAAATCTGGAGGAAGAGATCAGGAAGCACGGCACCTTAGGACAGGGCAGGCAATGTGCCATTCCCCAGCATGGCAGGCATAGGGAAGCATATCCCCTATGCAGCCAGGGGTGGAGCAGTGGCAGGATGACCAGCAGTCACCCTTGCAGCAGCTGGAGGATCAACCACCTTTCTAGTCCCTCTTCCTGCCCCAGCATCAGCTGCTCAACTCCTGCTTCCCCCCATGCCAGAGCACCGAGTGCATGTTGTGCCATGCAGCCTCGTACTGAAAGCATAAGGCAGGTACCACTCAGGGGTGGGTAAAAGCTGCCTATTTGGATTTGCTTGAAGAGCTCGGGTGATGTCTGCAGCCCCAGCTGGATCATGGTGCTGAAGGCAGCACTGCTGTGCCCACTGAGCACAACTCTGCACTGCAGAGGTCAGTTGAGGCTCCTACTATGCAGAACATCCCCTCAATGATAAAGATGGAATAATATTTTGGATATTAAGGCTTGCAGAATTAATTCCTATATGCAACCAAAAAATTTCTAGACAGTGTCCGACTTAGCACATCAGGAAAAGAGACATGAAAGCCCCTAAGAATTTACTAGAGAAATTACTCACCCATGGAGGAAGTTTCTTCCTAGACCTCCTATCAAGATGTTGCTTCATGGCCAGAAGAGTAAGTATTTTATAACGCTCATTAAAAACAAAGTACCCTGGGATGCATCGTGTTTTTAAGCACTGGCCCTACCAATATCTTGTGGACAAGAGTTCTGATTCATTTTCCTTTGTATGAAGTGTCCGTCTTTACAACTTCTGAACAGGTCTCCCTCTCCCACCAGCTATGTTCTCGTTCTCATTGTGAGGCTGGATGCTGGAAGAGGTGGGAGACCAGAGCAGAAGTTACACAAACTGCACAGCATATTTCTGAAGTGAATGGAGTTCACGGCTGATTGCTTTAAACGTGGATTTCTGTTTCAACAGCTGCTGAAGGGTAAGAGCAGTGTCCTGAGAGCTCATGTTTTGCTTGCATTAATTGAATGTTATTTGGACTTCTTCAAGCCTTCCTTCACTTTCCCAGCCACTTGCAGAAGAAGGGACCTCTAAACCCTTCGGTCGGATGAACAAAACTGAGTGAGCTTTTGAGAGCCCAGAGCTTTGGAGCCCAAGTTGCGTGCAAAGAACCTCATTGACCAGTGTGGCACCACCATTTGCATTTGGCCAGCAGGCCATGGACAAAGCCCTGAATGCAATCCTTGTCATGGTCCTCTTTGTCATCATGGAGATACCTAATTAACATGTGTGAACTTTATAAGAAGTGAACGTGTAAGACATTTACTGAACATGCAAGCCGAGAATGGGACATACACGATTAGAGGAGCTATCATCCTGTGTGTCTGGTGCTGATAATAAAGGAATGCCTGCCCGCTAACGCTCACAAATTGAGTTTTAGGGGTTTCTTATTGCCAGTTTACAGTAACAAGTCTCTTGTCAAGGTTGTCACTTTTGGAGTGGGGGGAGGAAGAAGAGAACAGAATTGCCAAGTACTGCAGCTGAAGGAAGGAAACATTTGGATCCTTTGCTAGAAAAGTACATAAAAAGCTCAAAACTTAATTTAAAAATATATGCAGTATTCGTATAGACATAAGATAGACTCTTCTCCAACTTCAGCAGGTCCATAATGCCAAAGCCCGGCTGTCTATTTGCAATGATGGCTGAAGAATGCACTGCTGAATGAGATCCTGCACCAGTCACCCCTCTGATGCTTCCAGTCCAGCTTTCTGCAGTCCCTGGAAACAAAGCAGCAGCAGAGTAGCTGCTACAGAGCTGCTGTAGTATTACTTTACCACATTTCATAGCTATGTGGAAGGGTAACTGCTAATGGGGAAAAAAAACTTGCTCTCATTTGGATCCTCAGGTGTGCCTTCAGTGCAAAGCAGTTGACATTCAAAACAGCTGTACAGGTGCTTGTAAGACTACAATTAAAAAAAGTGGCTTTCTAGGCTCCAAATCGTAAATCACTGGAAACAACACAGCTTCACTCTTTTGGTAGGAGTTCCAAGTTCCTTCCTCTTGCTTTAAATCACCCAGCAATACCAATTGTAGCTGTGTCACAATCTTTCCATAACCTGGTTTCAGAACTGCTTATTCTCACATTTTTCTCTTTCCTCAGATACAGCACAAGTGATCTGTGCAGGTGCAGACACAGTTATTGCTCAACAGATGAAACCAGTGTCAGGACCTTGCAGAAACAGTAGGAAATCAGGGAAACAGTAGATGGATTCTGCAGCAGCTGTTATCATAACCCTCTGAGGTGCACCTTCTGCAGCCAGCTCACAGGTCTCCAGCAGTTCTGTGTAGGACTTTGATCTATATGCTCATTTTACACCAGAGAAAGGGAGTGCCACAGAGCTACCTGCACCCACCACGTTGTTTTCTGAAGACCTTGCTCCAGACTAAGGAGACATTCTGCCAGACCAGAAAGGAGACATTCAGTGACTTCCAAGTCATTCTGACAACCCTTTGAGACAGCTTAGGGCCATGGTCCCAAGTGACTCCCCCCAGTTTTGCCTGTATGAAAATCATTGCCTGCATCAGTTCCCTTTTTTAATTTCACTTACTTGTAACTGTCCCACTGGCACATGTTGGAAGGGGTTGCTGAAGACATCACCGAAGATTAATGTAATTTCTGTAACAAAGACCCAAAATGAGGCGTGAAAAGTTTCTCTGTGCAGAAACCAGCAAGATTCAGTGCACAGCTGAGCAGCCTGTGGACTGCTGGTTGCTCCCATCTTGCAAACCCTGAGCAACACTCTCTCCACACAGCAGAGGCCACAAAAACCATGACCATGGCTGCCTTAGTATGTTGAGTCAGTGCCCAGCAAGCCGTACCTCTGAGAACACATGAACCTTGAATGTGCCTTTTATCAGTCAGTGCACTCAACAGCACCCCTGATGAGAACACCACCCAGTTATGGTGACAGTACATGCACCAGTACTCCTGAGGATTGGCATTAACACCTCCAATGTCCAAAGTATGCACTGTAACTTCAAGTAATCCACCTTAACTAAGGATAAACAGGCTCATACCAAGAACCTACACTGAGTAGCACAATCATTTCTGGCCAGAAGTCAACATAATCCCCCATGATGCAAAGCCTGGGAGTTTGTTTTAAAATGGAAGTTCCTCATCACAACAGCCAGCTCCCCAGGGAATATGCAGACACCTACTCACACCACTTGCAAGGCAAGTAAGCGGTGCAGTTTAGAAACAGAATTCAGAACAACTATTTACACAGCAGATGGCATTTCATGTTTAGCCTGAGAGAAGAGTCTGACATACCACCCCCTTCCCATCATCAGGTGCCTTCAGCTACCCAGGTTCCAGTTGAAGCTAACTCCCACTGGGACACAGATGCCCATCATCAAACCAAGTAAGCAGGATCAACTCACTTAAGGTCTCAACACAGCTAACCTCCCACCCCCCTGTCAGTGCTGCTTTTATCCCCAGAAGTTAAAGCCCTTTCTTCCACACCTCTTGGGGTGATCCAGCATCAGATCCCAAGCCTGTGAGAATGAAGCCTCCCCTTCTCCAAAGCTGACTAGTAAAGATCCAGTTAACTATGGATCTAAGCCCCTCTCCATGCCTGCTCCCAGCAGCGGCTGGTACACTGCCACCTTAACCACCTTAACGCTCCGATCCACAAGGCACAAAAGCTCCTCCCTCTTCCCTCCGTTACCTCAGTACACAAGGACTCTGCAACAGCAAGGAGAGAAGGCAGCAGGGCTGCAGAGGCCAGACCTTTTTCTTAAAGGAACCCCCTTACACTTCCTATGATCTATCCAAATCCCAGCCTAGGCTACAAAGACCTTTTTAAAGGTTTCAACAGATTATTAGAATAGCTTTGTAAAGCACTTTATAGAGAAAACATTATTTTTAAAATTATATTCTAAAGCTCTCTTGTGGGTGAGGGCTTGAGAAATGCAGGGATTGCAGAAAACTGCTGCCCCTAGAAGGCACGAACACTAAAACGCAAAAGCCTCAGGGTACCACTGCTGTACACCCACCCACCAACTTAAAAATGCCTCTTGCCCCAGAACGAGGACTAATGCCTATAAAAATGGTTTATCTCAACGTTCTCAGAAGCATCTGCACACACACACTAATGATGCATGCTGACTACATGAATCTTTAACATTCCATGCTTATTATCCGAAGTGATTAAAAGCTAAATGACTCATCTGTTCCATTTTTTGCTATGAACAATGACAAGCATAATTGTTCTTCTTTCAGAACACACAGACGTTCAAGGACATTGCATGATGTATTTAAAAGGACGCCACTTCTCCCCCACGCCCAAAACAGTCATCACTTTGCCACAGACCCATCTTTAAGAAACATTTTGATGCAGCTACAAACACTTTATTAACACTAAGAACAAACTAGACACAGAAATGTTTCTTTATACTTTATTTGAGCTATTTCATTCTTAGGTATCAAGAATTAGAGTGCTTCATAGAATATTATTACCACAGGGCAGTGAAATGGGCATTTTCTTAGTGTAGTGCAAGTCATATTAAATGAAAATATTTTAAAATAAAGTTTTATTAGCAGTACCAACCAGCACTTATCTGCTGACCTATAACTAAAACAATGTCTCAAAAGCACAAAAAAATACCTTCTGAAATACAGCTTTATGTACAGCACATATAGAGCTCTTGGATGCCTAAAGCTATTAGTCTGATATTAAACTAATGCTTTTGAGTTGCTATTCACAGTCGAATATACTGAGAATTAAGTGTTCAGATGACTTTAAGTACAAAAAAATTTTTCTGCTTTAGTTATAAAGAGCTCTGCCAATATACACAAACTATACACATCAGACATTCACAAAAAAATGTGAGCAAGAAAAGGGTTATCAAAAAACATTTAATACAATTAGTCAATAACCCTTCCCACCATGGTCCACATCTACAAAGTTCTCCCATCCCTCCCCGCCCTCCCCATCCAAACCCTTCCCCACAGAAAGTCACATACTTACCACAAGTTTTAGCAAGTATGGTTTAAAAAAGGGCCCCAAGGCAAGTTACTTATAGTTCAGTTGCCACTGTCAACAGATCTGGACCTTGATCTAGACCTCTGCCGATCCACAGATGATGGAGATTTTGATCTGCTGGATGAACGACGCTTCTGGCTCTTGTCTGGCATTGGAGATCTACTAACTGACCGAGACTTGCTGTGGCTCCTGCTCCGTGACCTGCTGTAAGACTTGCGGCTGCGGGAACGAGAACGGCTACGAGACCCGGATGAGCTTCTGCTGCGCGACCGCGACCTGCTTCTGGACCTACTGTGGAAATGAAGAGCAGCAGTGTGAGCAACGAAATCCCACGGACCACGGCAATAACCAGGCAATTCACTGGGCTCCAGAGTTCAGCTGCCTGGTCACTGACTTCAAGGCTTTCTCCATGAATACTTAAGCATTATTCCAGAGAACAGAAATCCATACCTGTGCCTTTTGCTGCCTTCGATTAGTTTGATTTTCCTTCCATTAATTTCTTTACCAGAAAGCTTTTCAATAGCATTCTTTAAATCACTGTAAGAGGCGAATTCAACCACCCTACAGAAAACAGAAAAAAAATCCCCAAACACAAAGATTACTATTTTAAGTTGCATTTATAAACACAAGCACAATTTACAACCTGAAAAAATGGGGAAAAATGAAAAAAAAAAAAAAACCAAATTGCAAAACACACTGCTCAGTGTAAATATCCCTTGTTATCACTGACGCATGAAAAATTCCACTCCCTAAATACTGAATGCATTTTCAAAGGGCAGTGAAAGTAAACCAGGAACAGCTGCTGACACTGAAAGCAGCCAGCTTCCCTCCCCAAATATTACACGTAGGTTATTACTCTACAGCTTTCAAGAGGTGATTTGAGAAGCTTACCCTTCATTTAACTTAGGTCTATGTGCATCTGCAAAGGTTACTTCCCCGGCTTGTCTCATGAAGTCTTTGAGATCCTAACACAAGACCACTTATGTTATGCACAGAAGTGAAATTAATACTTATCTATACAAAAGTAGTTTAAAACAAACAAAAGAATCTTATGACTACTGAAAGAGAAGATGTTAGGTAAATCACAAACATGGCAACTGCCATACTTGTATTCTATCAATACTGAATTATCTATATTAGGGCACGAAATAAATGAAAAAAAGCATATTGCTTTAAGCAAAATGCTAATAAAGTGTCTTAATAATAAGGCAAATATTAGTCTACAATGATTTTACAGATTAAATAACAGAGAGAGAAAGAGAGAGAGAGAAAGAAATAAAAAAGCACATTTGTATACATACTGGATTGAGTGTGAAATACTACCCATATATTTTTGGATTATTTCAGTCTCCATTTACATTACAAATCTTACACGAATATAGAATTACATTTACATAACGCCAATTATTTTGTGCCCCATATGTCATTAAAAATATAGTTTACTTTACCTTCATTAACAATTCCCTAGGCTAGCCAAGCAGCAAACTGCATTAAGCGACCGGAGATACCGTCATGACATATGCCCGACTGGCTCTTCGCCACCCACTTGACGAACACTACCCAGTCGATGGAAGCCATTAATCGCACTGCCCTCCCTATCAGGAGACTATGGATGGATCCAGACATTCTCTATGCTTGATGTCACCAAGGACCACTTTACTGCGATCAGGATTCCAACGACCACCTAATTTCGTATCTTTCAACTCTTTTCGACCGGGACCTCGTTATTCGGAAGCGTTACAGGAAGAACAGCTCTCAACTTAGGAATCAGATCTCGTTAACGCTCTGGGATCGCTGCAATGTGGCACTTTAAGGAGTGCATCGATTACGTCTAGACCGGCAAACACAGATCTAGAGGTGGCCAAGTGACATTGTAGGAGCTGACTGGAAAGTCAACCAGGCCCGACCAAGAGTGACCAAGACAGAACGATTAGGATAACCCACAGGCACTCCTCGTCATAAGGCCAACGACACAGATAGGCTGGCAAATAAAGGGTTTAATATGTGGTTAAAATGGATTTTAAAAACAAGAAAAAAAGTAAATATATATCCTCAAATATATAAATTTATTATTATTATAAATTTAAATTAACTAGTTTTCATTCAAAATATTTAAATTACATTAAAAATCATATTAATTACATAAACATTTTAATACATTAGATTTAATTTTAATTAATTATTTTACAAAATAACTACATTATATAACAATTCCTTTAAATTAAATCAAAATAGTTAATCGTATTTCAACAAACCTGCCAGCTGACTCGGGAAGACAAATTTTCCACTATGAGGCGATTTTCTGTTCTTAAAGGTGGGGCATTTCTGTTTGGAAATAAACAATTCAGACTTTTACCAGCAAACAATATATAACCACTTTAATATTAACTAAGGCTGTACCAAGAACCAGTGCTGGCATATCATTAGCACTACAAGCTGAACTACGTATTGCCCTGAGCAATGTAGTACAGGCAATAAATACTTTTGGGAGGGAGCATAAAGATGACAAGCATATGTGAGCAGTTCCATAATCCTCCATCTCCTACTGCCACATCAAATGACTGACTAAAAACACAACACCTTTTAACAGCTCACTTCAGCTCAAGTTCTTGGATGGGATTAGCCCACAGCGTTCCTTTTTTTAAACTGCCTCAGTTCAAAGCAACACGTACCTCCTGTCACTGCGCGGCCGGCGGCTACTGAAACGGTCAGAGTACCTCCCTCTGCCTCTACCCCTCGAGCGTGCTCGGGCATGCTCAATTGTCACCCTGGGAAAAGAAAAACACGGAAAACCACATGTGTTTACATTTTTTTTTCTTATGTATCCTGTTACAGTAATGGGGGGGGGCACGAAGACACATGGACCAAACAAACACAAAATAGCTTGAACAGTACTCATTATGCAACATAAGCTAAAGTTGACTCACTGCTTATTTTAGACAGCCAAGATGGCATAAACATGAAATAGGATACCTAACCTCTCACTGCAAAGCTCTTTTCCATCCAATTCATAGACAGCATCGTCTGCATCCCTCGGATCCTCAAATTCCTGCAAAACCACCACAAGTGTCAGTATGAAATTGCATCTCCAACAAAAGAACAGATACTTATTTGTCACACGGCATACCTCCTTGGGCACGTTAACGTTGTTTTTTTTTTTTTTAAAGTAGCGTCGTGCACATCAAACGTGAATTAGTACCGAGGGCGAGGGACCCTGCAGGGCTAGGGAAGGGGGAGAAGGTGGGCACACTCACCACAAACCCGAACCCTCTCTTCAGGTCGATGTCGCGGATACGGCCGTATCCTTTGAAGAACCTCTCCACATCTTTCTCCCTGGCGGCCGGGTTCAGCCTCCCGATGAAGACACGGCAGCCGCTCATGGCTGTCTGCGTTCTGTGTGAGCGCGGCGCTGCTGCGAGGACACTGCGCGTCAGACCCCGCGGGTGACTCAGCACTCGCCCGCCGCTGCCGCACTGCGCCGCGCGCCGGCACGCCCCTGTCGCGGCCAATGGAGAGCGCGGGTGGACGCCGCCTTCAGCCGCGCCAATGGGAACGCGGGGCGCAGCTCCACCCGCGGCCCCCTCCCCGCCGGTCGGGGAAGAGA